GGCTGCTACAACAGCCAAAAATGGCTTGATTTGACCCAGAATGGTTAGTCTTGCCACAGCATCTCGTGTGTCTCATTCAAACCCTACACAAACACAGAATAAAAAGGAGGGTCCTTACCCCAAGGAGTTTCTAATAACTAATCCTTTACAGTCTCCAGTTAGTGGTGCCTGAGGAAGCATTCCTGAACTCCTGATGGCTCCCCTGATTAACTCACACAGCAATTCTCTGATCCCTCAAGGAAAATTGGTTGCATACAGTGCTCATTCTGCAATGTTCTCACTTGCAGAGGCTAAGGCAAAAGACAATCTTTCTGCTCAGCCTTTCTACATCACAGACTGGATCAGATTCACTCATTAAATCTAACAAGTTGTGGATGAGTGCGCCCAAGCAAAAAACCATCTAAGTCTTGGCCTGACTCCAAAAAACATAAACCCAGCCACATCCCTTGGAAAACTCTTCTGACGGTTGATAAATCCCATTTGAGAAGCTCATGGTAATTGCCACCAGTGGCCAGAAACTATGTAGACTATTTGCCATAACACAGTGTGGTTTCAAATGCCATACAAGGAGCCTTGGATTTTAAGGAAGAATTTGGTTTGGGGTTTGTTTCAATTTAAGACAGCCAGTAAAAGGAAGGCCTAGTGATTCAAGGCTAAGTGCAGGAATCAGGACAACTGTGACTAGACACATAGTCACGTCCCTGGGTTCCTGTGACTTAGAGAAGTCTTAATGACTGTTCAGCTGGTGGGCCTTGGATAATTGCCATTGGCAAGGGAAATCCTTTGTTGCTGTGCAGTTGCTGCCACGTAATCCTACACATCATTTCATGTAGTTTCGTTGTCTGTGAGGATTTGTGGCCTTTTATGTGATCTCTGTCTGCTCCTTTGCCTCTAGATTCTTCCAGAAGCAGGTGGTGGGGATCTGCACATAGATGCACTCTCCCATGATTTATACTACAGAGAAAGAAAATCCACTAGATTGTATAAGAAAGTCCATCTGATGGAGAAGATAACCTACAAATTCTGCTCAGCCATGGTTTTTTTTTAATTGGGATAACTTCTCTTAGTATCACACCTGGTTCTTTTGAGTGTAGTAGAACTGATGTCCCTAGTGAAATCTAGGACAGCTGCTATTTTCAACTCTCACCAGCTAGTGGTCTTCAGATACAGAGTCCCATGACTTATATGTGCTAATATTTAAATATCTGTAGTACTTTAAAACTAATGTACGAAAACCTGGGCTTGAGATAATTTTAGGTGACTAGTTTGAGTCAGTCTTCTGATCTTCTGCAGGCAATGGAGAGGCCAACAGGCAAAATGATCCCCTCCCCCATCCTAAATGCCTAATAAACTGATCAGATTTAGATGAACTGAGTCCAGGCCTGACTATCTTTTAGTGTACAAACTTGCACAAATAAAGTTTCACTGACAAGTTAATGACATGTCACTGTTAACCTAAATAACAGTTCTCTCTATCTGGACAACATTTCCAGTTAATCCCCTGGAAAACAGTAACTAGTGGCTTGACCTGAAAAGAACTATATGAGTTATACTTTTTCTTCCTGAAAATTTAACTGATTTTCCTAAGCTAAAATCAAGTTAAATTTCTTTCGAGTCCTACAGTCATCGAATTAGTGTTTTGATTCAAAAACTAACAACAAAAATCGTGGTTAGTTTGGGAAGAGAGGCTCTTGATCTGCTGAAATTCGTGCCCAAAACCTGAGACACCTACTCACTTCTTTGGGACTAGCTCTTCCTTCATAACAGGCAGTCTTCTTGATGCTTAAGAGTAAAAATACTGGTTTTACTTTGTTCAAGGCTTCAGGAGCCAAAATGAAAATTCAGATGTGTAAATACCAACACAACCATTCTGGATTTATAGTAAGATTGGAATCAGGATCCTTCAAACACTGTTTCTACTGAGATGAGTTATAGGCTTGTCCTGAATTCATAGCATTGAAAGACTCTGGCCCAAGAGCAATGAAGATCCCATAATCTGGATCACAGAAGAAGCAACCAGCAAATAGACTGACTTTTCCTAGGAAGTTCATAGAATGCAATTTTGGAAATAAGTGAGAGGTAAATAAGCAGACAAATGGGAATAAGACAAAATAACAGTGAGAAAAATGTGACCACAAAAGCAAGAGCTCTGCTTGCCTCCAGTGGATCTTGGTGCTACACCACCACCTTACAATGAACTTTGTCTGTATTAGGATCCTGAGTATCTGCCCATGACTTTATTTTGACTTTGTTCCATGAAGAAGAAAGAAAGGCAAAACTTTCAGTTTATTTGCTTTATAAAATCACTACTATTCCTTCCTTTTCAGGTAAAACCTTTTGCTAAAGTAAATCTAAGAAAAAAATGAGACAAAATGAGGGCTGCAATAAAAATAAATGAAACTGTTTCTGTCTGGAGAATAAAACGTACTGAGATGTGCCAAACCAGTGAGATTTGCAGTCCAAAAAGTTTATTTCCTTGTCAGTTATGATTGAATTAAAGATTTTCTGAAAACACTTGTGAACTAGGTGGGCTACAAAAGGAAGAAAATACTTTCCTTTGCTTTTTCAAATCAATATTACAAGAAAGAAACATGAAAAAAACAAGCTTGTTCCACATGTGCCTAAGTTTATACACTCATGAAGGTATAATAGGAAACCAAAGACTTGTAATTTGGAAGTGTTCTGGATTTATTCAAGGAAATAATAAAACAGAGCCACAGGAACAGCGTTTGCCAATGATACATTATGTTGCAGAGTTGATTTAACTTAACAAGACTCAAGTTTAGATCTGGAGTTATAGCAGTAGAAGAAAAAGAGATTGAAGGGGCAATACTGTCAGGTCTATGAATAACACTGTCATTGATGGAAGAAATTGATTCACCTGTAGGAGAGATTTTCCCTTTTTTTTTTGGCTCAATTTTCAAGAGATCAGGAAAAAACAAATGACAGAAAAAGAGACATTGTGAACTTGCTATTAAATGCTGTGAATAACGTTATTCTAAGCCTGATAAACACTATCCAGCAGTAGTCCTGATGCATTGCTTTGGGGTGAATCTTACTGTTTTCAGCTAATCTGTTAAATCATAGGAATGAATGTCAAAAGTTATCATTCCCCTTGATGCTAGCCCTTTCTCCAAGAAGTAATGGCCTCTGTAGTAAGCCTTGCCAAAATATACATAGACGTGTCATAAAAGAAGTTTACAAAATTATTAAAAGAGAATGAGCTGTTATTCCAAAAGAATAATATGAGAAACAAGGAAATATCCAAGAAGAATGAAGCATCCAGACACCTTTGAATAATCCTGGAAGGATGGAGGCTTGATTTCATGATCTCTAAGAGAAAAGTGTAAAGGGAAGATGTACAGTCAAGATTCATCTTCAGAACCAGTTGTAGAAGGTTATTTCAGGAAATTCTCCAAACTGTGTGACAAATTCTCCATTTTCACTCCTCAAAGAAACCATTAGTATCTGGTGAAAACTTTGGGACACAACTAATTGTGTATAGGGAACAGAGACCTTGAAGATGAGTTACAACAAGAAAAGTTAGGTAGAAGAGCAGAAATGGCTTAGAGAATAATTATAAAAGGGAAAGATTGGAAAATCTAAGGCAGAGGGATGCCTTTTGTGGTTTAAATGCTTTGCACCTGAGACTAGAGTAACAGCTCTAGGAAGTCCTAACAGGAGTGACTATTGAATGAGCAGTAATAGTGAAAAAGCAAGAGGTAAATGATTGAAATTAAATATGGCCAAAAAAGAATTTGAAAAGATTTTCCAGAAAAGATATTAATAATCACATATTTCCTAGCTAATTGTAAGACAACAACCTTGATCAGGTTGGACCCATAGTCACCTTCAATATTCCACACAAGAATAAAAGGGGTGTAAATTAAATCAATAAGGTACAGAAACGAACTGTATGACAAGATGGTAATGAAAAGTTTCATATGCAAAAAAGGAATCCCAAGGGACCATGGAGAGATTAATTGATGGTATTTGGCCCACACTAATATTTCTGCAGATGAAAAACACGGAGGGAAAAAAGCAGAAGTGGAAGGTCTTTGTGGGACCCCTGGGATTTATTGTGGAAAATATAATCATCACTATACAGAGGATAATCTTAAATTTGGTGGCACACCAGAGAAGATAATCTAGCTGCAACAAAAAGCATCAATATCTTCTCACGTGGTGTTGATGTGCTCCACTCAGCTGCATTGCCAGGGACATGCCAGGCCAACATGTGAGACCTCTTCAGAAGAAATGGAATCACAGGTCAGTCTACGCTAACAAAGATGACAAAGAAATCAGGAGAACCTCAGGTTTGTCAGGAAATGCCTTTGGGAACAGAACGAAGGGGTTGTCCTGCCCCTGATTTATTGTTAGAGTCCACTCTAATTGGTACATTTGTGAAATCATCAATACAAATGTGTCTCTTGATCCCAAGGAGACTCTAATTACTTATGCATTTACTAATTATATAACGATAATGCTGAATATGCCATATCATGAGCAAGACACTCTTCTGTTAGGAGCTATGTACCCACAAGGTGCTACTAAAGGGCCATCTTATTCCATTGAATGCCCAGTTATTAGGTATAGAAAAGTTAGGACTCTGTTGGGACATGTCTCCCAGGAGCCTGTGGGAAATTAGAAGTTTAGTTAGGGCTAATTTATTGCTAGAAGTTTCCTTAGGGTTTTATATCCAGCTACAAAACTTTGAGCTTCTGGACTCCCGACAGACATTGCTCTTATTGACCCCAAACAATATCTGATGTATGAAGTTCTTGAGTGGCTAAACTTGATTATTGTCCATCAGTCCTTCATGCAATTAATGGGGAAGTAACTCACGTGATGCTAATTACACATGCCCAAAGGATTAAGGTAGTGTGCATAAATGTTATTGGCCAGATGGGTGAAGGGATTTGAACCACAGGGAATGGAAATGCTGATGTGATAACACCTCTTGGAATAACTGAGCAGCACCAGGTGCCAGAGATACTTGCCTTTTTCCCATCAACAGTGTAGAGCTTCTTCACAGGGAACTGCAGGATCTCTGAAATCTCATCCAGGAGTGTTTTGAAGCTCCTGGCGTTTCTGCGGTTAAGGATAATTGAGCGCCGAAAACCACTTTCTCCATTCTTAAGTAGAGTGATTTTCTTGGGGATTCTGGGGCCGTGGTGAGTAAAAGGTGTAGAATAATCTTCAAGCTTGCCCTCCTGAGCTGCTCTTCTCAAGGTACTGGAGGGACGACCGTTTCGTGGAGGGCCTGGCCTGTGTCCCCCAGCAGTAATGGGAATGGGTTTGACGTATTTCTTGTCGGAGCAAAGGTACCACCCTCCATCCTCCAGCTGGTCCAGCTCACTGATGCAATGTATTCCTCGTGGGGTGGTGATGGTCCGTACCCCAAATGGCAGTGGCACCCGATGAGAGAGGTCATCCATGAGCGCGTTGAAGCTCTTGAAGCTTCGCTGGTTGATGGCCATCTTGACTCCGGCAAACTGAGGATCTCCACTCTTGAAGAAGGTTATTTTTTTGGCTGGAGGTACCTTGGTGACAGTGCTTGTCCGAGCCACGGAGGGAAGGGTCTGCTCATAGTTGTAGGAGCTGGTGGTTGACACGTAGTCAGCAGGCACCTGAGTCATCCCTTTTGCTTAAAGGTAACTACAAGAGAAGCAAAAACAGAGTAGGGTTTGAGTCATCCAGCGTCAACGCCTGACTAGCATGGGGGCAAAGTTTGTTTTCCTCACAGGAGTTTTACCATCTATGCTTGAACAAGAGTAGGTTGTACCAACGTGGAGCTATGAACTCACTGGCTCAGAGGAAACACAGCAGGAAGAGTGGCCATAACCCTGCTCCTCACAGTTAAACCTTGCTCGTCCTGCAGATGCCAATGAGATATTCAGTCAGTCCTAGTCGCCCCTGGGGCACAAAAACCATGAGTCAGACCCCAAGCAAAACCCACAAAAACTGATATTTGTGCATTGCTGTCCTTTTGAGTTTCGTGTCTTCCTTGCTTATATTTTTGAGGTTTTCTCTGAAACTCTCAGAGCCAGTGATTATTTTGATTTTACTTTCACAAGCAGAGCGCTGTAACCCTTTAACTCCATGGACTTGTGCATAAGAAAAACCAGGGCAAAACTGAATTTGTTCATGTAGTGATGGCACCTTGTAGGACACAACCAGTCCTGAACGTGCCGAGGGGCAGAGGATCCTGGTTTCAGAAGGGGTCATGCCATGGTGTGCCCAGGGAAGGTCTGGATGAACATCCGTGGTAGTTATGCAAACAAATAACGGTAAGAGGCATCACAAGACATCAAACAGAATTACAAGAATTGGTTCTGCTAAACGGTGGGAAGATTTGAAATCAGCCTGCTAAGCAGAGGTGTGATGGGAACAACCTGACCCATTTGTGTCAGAGCAGCAGGTGTCCTTCAGTTTTAAAGCTAAGCTGTCTTCTGTGCTTGGCTGGTGCTTGAACCCCACCTTTGGGAACCCAAATGTTTTTTAATGTCTTTGTCACAATGGAGACAAGTGGAAATGAGACTGGGCTCTACTCTTGCTTGCTTGCCCTTCAAAAGCATCGTCTTGGAAGTCAACCACCAAAAAACACAGACCCTAGATGGAATTAAACTATTATGCCAAAAAAAGAAGACACTGGTTTTGACATGGAAAAGAAATCATTAACACTATTTACAACTGCTAAAATATCAGCTGTTATGAGCACAACAAACATCTATTTCAGGAACAGGGAGAGTGATTCCACAGTTAATTACTGAAAAATGGAGGCTCTCAAGATGGTATTTAGCGATGTCATCTTCTGATTAGAAGTTACTGCTCATAGATAGGCAACAAACCATTTGAATTGCTTGTAGGGAATCCAGTAGCTTGTCTTGCAGCTTGCAGAAGATGGGTCTGGCTACAAGCACCTACATCCAATCTACCTTCCAATGTTCTTACCTGATTGCAGTTCTCTGTGGCAACTTTAAAATATCTCTCTCAAGAAAGACATTTTTTTCAGTGCTCACAAATGAGTTAGAAAAAAATAAATGTATTTCTAATGGCATGTTTCCTCCAGTTTGCTCCTGGTTACACTTCTTGCAGCAGCTGAAAAAAATTCTAGTTTCAAGAAAACAGTCAAGCTACTCAAATTATTTTGGAGGATCTGTTCAGTGACCACTATAATTAATGGGGATTTTGTCACTAATTGCAGAGGTGTAGCATTCAAAAAGCTGTAAATGCTGATTTTCTCCACATTTTAGAACAAACACTCTATTTTCTTACTATGCTGCTCTCAAATGAAATATTTGTGCACTTGGTACTGCAGCAAATTCATTCCTGCAATAAATGGAAGTTTAACCTCAGTGAGGTGAGAAAAGACATTAGGCACCATTTGAAAGATTATTATTTTGACAAATCTCTGCTTTTCTGTGTCCATGCACACTGACAAACATTTCAGTATGATTTATTCTTTCCACGTACATATTTCACCAAGCAATTATTCACTTATTTATTTCCCAGTTAAAGGCCAATCCATCACTCTATCTTCCAGGAAAAAAAAATTTAAAAAAATCTCATTTCTCTATTTTTCAGCAGCTTTCAGGAAGGTGGCTTTAACTTTTTCTCCCTGAGTCCCACATTTCAGACACCAGAAGCATAATTTCCAAACAAACCCATTATCCAAATTGTAGTCCCTGGACCAATGGTAGTCCACAATATGCTGGCTGCATTCCCAGAAATCTAACTGCTTCCCAAGGATTTATTCTACTTTTTTTTTCAGGCTGTTAAAGAATATTGAAACAAGCACAAAAAAAGAAAAATTAAAATCAGGGACAAACCATAACATACTTTCCCAATATTAATTTTCTTCAGGAATAATTTCAGAAGTCTGTTAAGGCATCACCAATGTAAAAGAACATTTTCCCTGAAGTTTCAGGTGATAAAGTTGGTTACTCACCCAAACCTAGATGGTCTGTTGGATCTGCTCTTATGAAGTAGCATATAATGTCAAGACAGAGCCTTCCACAAAAACCTTGCATGGAACAATAAATAGTTCCCACATGGGAGAAATTTTGTATTGTCCATTTCAAGTTTCAGAATGAGAAGGGGATTCTACTGTCTATCTGTCAAATTAAAATGGTCATCTTGCCCAAATATATCTTTTTATAGATGCATAGAAGAGAAATCTCAATGCATAGATTTGTACTTACATTGAAATTCTTCATGCCTCTTGCTCAAGATGACTTTTTCTTATAAAATATCCAACAGCTTGCAAATAAATCGACAAAATAATTTAAAAAAAAAAACTAAAACAACCAAACCAAAAAAAAAAAAAGAACCAACCACCACAGCCAGCCAACCACCTTCAGGCTCTAAAGCACTTCACAGTGCAGGGAAAAGCATTAGCAGGCTACCTGCTGTCAGTCAAACTGTCCTCAAACTGACTGCCCACAGCTTGAGGGGTTAATCAGGTCTGTGTTGCTAAGGATAGAAAGAAAAGCTACCTAAGCTGCTGGAGGAGGCTCTCAAATCCACTGGGGCTTTAGGCAGAGTTGGCCCAATCCTTCTCTTGCTTGTGCCCATGTAACTCAGGTATAAATCTGATTCAGTGACATTCCTCTCAAATCATACTAGCAGAAATGAGCATGCAGTCAAGGCCAAAGAGGGAGAACTTTCCTCTTGCATAGAGCCTTGCAGAGATCTGGAAAACTTTGATCTTTTCCACTCCACTCATCAACCCTCCCATTCATCAACAATGCTTTGGAGTCAGGTTTATGGTTTGGGTTGACTCCAGTGGAGCTGGAGGAAATATGGTGGTAGCTCTTAAGGATTTGTGTTTATGTTGTCACTTCTCAGCTGGTTGATGGTTGCTTACTCAGGACACAGAAGACTGAGATTCATAACAATTTTTCAGTGAAATATTATCTTAGCAGGAAAGTCTGTTGAGTCCTAAACCAAATATTTTCAAGTTCATGGCAGGTGTCAACGTCAGAATCTCAACAGCTGGATCACTGAGATTTGGGCGTAGAAGAAGGACAGATAAGCAACCTCATGAGTCATAAATAATGTGAAATGACTTATTCTTTCATAATTCACCTCTGAGAGCCTTCCTGCACTCTCTAACACTTCCTCTTTGCAAAGGAAACACACACAACAACAATAAAGATCAACCAGTTGGATTCAGGTACAAAATCAGTGGGAAATATCATTTTTCTATGGACTGGCTTTCTTGGCTTCCAGCAACAGTTATTTATTGCTTACGTAGCCATTTTGGTGTGCACCAATGTCAAACCACTTAGCACCTTCTTTTGCAGAAAGCAACTACTTGTAGAGAGACCAGAGACATAAAGGGCTTATATTGGAAGGGCAGGAATTTGGAATCCTGCAAGAACAGGTTCAGCA